TTATCAAGAAATAAAACTAGCAATAAAATACTGTAAGTACAGAGGAAATAATCCTTTGGGCGTTCATGCAACACAATGACTCACCAATGTCAAGGGAAAGTGAGAATGTCATTTCAAAGTTCTAACTGGTTTTATAAGATTTTGGTCTTTATGTCTACAGTGAATTTTCTGATTAAAAATCTGATGATTCTCATTATAGGAACCTTTAGGAAATCTGATTTATTATATCATATGAAACATAAAAGTTTAACTGATATAATGTTAGGAAAATAATATTGTTAGGAATAAAATTTCTGAAAATTGAAAAGTAGTTCACTAAAGGAAGAATAATTTTTTTAATTTTAATACCATGTATCCATACACTAATATGCCATATAGAAACTGAAAAATGAGTTAGAACTATATACTTCATTATGGATAGGTTATAAAATCATAAAATTTTATTTAAAAGAAACCAAAATTATAGAATCAATTATATAAAATACCACATATGTACATTAAACAATGTAAAATAAAAAGTTATTGTTTATGACTGTCTATATAGAAGGCTAATAAAAAGAACACTGAATTCTGAGTCAGATCAGACTTCTTTGGATGTTCCTAACAAGAAAAGGGAAGGCTAATTACAAATTAAATGTTTTATTCATTTTATTAAAATAATAATTGAAGCAAATATAGTATTAATGTAGAGATGGATCACAGATTATCTTTAAGTTTTCAGTACTCCATAATTGATTTATACATTTTTAATTTTTTATCAATTATTTTACCATTTCAAGTAAAATATAATTGGGATGAACTGTTAAAATATCTCAGTTGACCATCATATCAAATTAATCCACTCTCACAGTTTATGATAGCCATATAGTTTTATAGAAAATAAAAAATACAGAAAACTCTAAAATTTCAAGATATCCAAGCAATATCGAACATTCTATCTGACAGAAACTACAAATTTCAACCCTCATTAGCTTAATATTCAGTTTTAGTTCACAGACTCTTATTTGCTCTAAGAGCAATTTTCCTTACAGAGAAAGCCACTACAAGGTCATTCCTGGCATTTCCCCTTGGGAGTCTTCAGAATGAGAAGTAAACTGTAAATCTATGGTAAATCACCTGTGTGGTGTTGAACAGCAGAACTGTACATGTCTGAACTACAGATATTAGGGTAGAGGAAACCAAGGGTAAGCACTAAAGCACAAACAAGGGCTCAATAATCAGCTGAGCATTCTTCTGACACTGGGTTAAGTACACCTGCTCTCCTTCATTAGAGTTTTTCCCCACACTGAGTGCAATCCCAACTATTATTGTTTTTACATACATTGGTGTCATATATATATATATTTAAAGATACTTTATTAGAATCATTTTCTTTAAAAAGTAACATGACTACATTGAAAGACTTTGTATAGGTCATAGAATTTGGAAAGGGAATAAATGGCAAACTCACATTATAGGAACAGTGACAAATTTCACATTATTGTTGAATCTTGGTAATTCAGTTTTGTCAGGAAACAGTACTCAAAAATTATAATAGGCATATAGAATTTCAAGTTTCTATTCTAAGATATAATTACATATTTTAGTTTGAGAATTATCAGTTTAGTTACTACAGCACTTTTTTTTTTCTTATTTTAGTTTCCAGACTGTGATTTTTAGCTCTGGTAGTTCAATTAGGGCACAGGTGAAGGCATACCAGGCCTGTAGAAGAGTAATAGAAAAGCAATGGAAAATCTCTTGGTGTCTGGTTATGGGAGAGGTCCAACATCAAGGCCTGGATACCCAGGACCATGTATGGAGTGAGGACCACAGCTACCCAGGACCGCGTGCTTCATGAGGACCACGTGCTTCATGAGGACCACAGCTGTGCCTCAGAGGAGGTGGGAGGTACATTCCAGAGAATCAGTCCTCCCAAGACCAGACTCTGCAAATAATAGAAGTCTCCTCTGTCTCCAGCATAAGAAGGCAAAGTCTCTGTCATGTACAATCTGGGACCTCAGGGGAGGAGGCTGTGGGCGTCCCCTCCTGTGAACTGGATCTGTGATCCCCTCCCATGAGCCAGAGCTGAGTCCCCACTCCTGAGCCTGGAGCTGTGGTCCCCTTCTATGAGTCAGAGTTGTGGTTCCCTCCTGTGAACCTGATTATATTTTTAAAGTATGAGTTTTGTCACATCTCTTCTCTGCCTGAAACTTCTTTTTAATTGCTCTTAGTATTATATATAAACCTTTTAATAAACTTACCTAATCATGCTGGTCTAAGCAGTTGATTTATCTGTACTGATTTGGAAGAAAGGTAGGACATAGGGATTGAGGTAGTGAGTGCAGGGTGGGGGGGTATTGTGAAGTTAGAATATACATCTGCAATCATATTCCTACAACCACGGTTCATGGAACATAGCAGAATAAGGGTAGAGAGAGGGCTAATGCACCCCTCAACTCTCACCAGTGAGGCTTCCATGTACATCAGAGTGCATTACACACAGAAGGCCTCAACTGGCTAAGTTTTGGAGAATAAGATACTGTAGAGTGTAGGATGGGCTCCTATATGGAACATCACCCACCCAAGGCTCAGGGACCATTGCAGAAGAGGAGGCAGAAAGATTGTAAGAACCAGGGCTGTTTCGTGAACATATTAAATGGTGGAGGCTTCCAGGCCAATGGAGGTTTGCTCATGTGTGCCTGCAGTAGCAGTGGCTCCAATGTGGGACCCAGATCAGCTCAATTAAACAAGGGCCCAAAGGGGAGATGAGCAATAGGTGGTGGGTTAGCACTAGATTGAGAACTATTTGAGACTGATTGCTGCTGGGTCGGGGAGTGTATGACTGCTGGATGATCTGACTAGACTCCAGAGGACACATTTACACTGAAGGAATCTGAGTACAAGCACCTGAATGAAGAGGACTCAGCGTGCATTGCAGAGTGCACAGGGTTTGGTGGTGGTGGGGTGAAGCATGGATGGGGGAGGGGTTCTGGATGTGAGTGGGAAATAGTGTATGAAATTTTAAAAGCTCAATAAAAAAGTTTGATAAACAAAACAGGATTAAATGATCTAGGGACAGTGCAAATATCTCCTACGAATGACCCACAAGGCAGGCAAATGTGTCTATCTATGAAGTCAGTTGATTCTGAAGGACAGAGATTTGAGAATAATAATGGAATAAACTGCTTTCATGGTTAGAATGGTTGAAATTACTGAGTTCTTCAGACCTTATTCACCTCTAAGCATTGTGATGAACTTAATGTGAAGATTATGAAAACTCAGAATCACCACCAAATGTATAGATGTTAAGTGATGTGCAAAGGTTACATTACTGGTTACACGAAAACAAAGCCAGCTGTGATTACAGCATCTAAGCTCACACGTGAACTCACCCAGGTGGTCTGTTCTTTATACATCATTATTATTAAATGAGATCTCCACAGAAGATGTAGACATATAGTAAGTTGCCCAAATTTGGAAAATGATGACCATGGAAAAAGTAAACAGTTGAATTTCAGTAAATTTTCCTCACTCTGTGTGGTCTAGATTTTTTTAAAAATCAGATTCACTAATCTCTACTAAATAAAATTCAAATATTTACATTATTGTGTCAAGTATTCTGAGATACAGGGAATTGTGATAGGAAAACTGGAAGAAATTTAAAGGGAAAACCCCTTTTAAAAATACCCCCAATGGTAAATGTTTTTTAGTTAAATGAAAACAGCTCACTGGGAGGCTGCTCCAGATGTCAGTCAGGTGCACCAAATCTCTTGGTCTCCTTTGATTAGTAAGAGGTGTGTCTTCAAAAATAGTAATATGAACCCCACTACTTTAATAAGCTTAGCAAGAGCTTTAAGAATATGCTTTTGATTTCAATTTCCCCTTGATTTTATATTTATAATTTCAGTTCACTTTCTCATTTGTTCTTTGAGTATGTAGAAGTTTGTGTCTTTCATATAAATTTTATTAGCTTAAGTTTTAAATTTTCTGGGTTTTTTTTTCCTTCTTTTTGAGACAGGTCTCTCTGTAGTCACAGCTGGCCTGGAACTCACTATGTAGACCAGGCTGGCCTCAATCTCACAGAGATCACCTGTCTCTGTTTCCAAGTGCTGAGATTAAGGCATGTACCACCTCATCCAGCAATATTCTAATTTTTAAAAATAATCACATCAATTAGAATTTTTAATGGTCGCTCTTTTTCTAGTTAACTTTTCCATATGATTGCTAAACCATCAGAATTATGGTGCTAATTTAATAGTTTGTCTGCCAATGCCTAGCATAAAGTCAAAGTCTTAGACGGTGAGAGAGTTTTCAAAGTGATCTTTGATACTCATTCTGAAGAGGTCCATTTTAGCAAATATTTATTCATTAACTCAGTGAATGTTTGGAGAGTGCTTAGTATGTGCTAAACACTTTGGTTTTTTTTTTTCTAAATCTTGGGAGTATAATGTTGAGCCAATCTAGAAACTGTCTCTGCTTGCATAGTTTATTGTCTAATACGGAAGTGACATCTACCAGACACAAAATAAGGATGGGTTCAGAAGGCAAAATGCATAGTATTCTAAAAAATAACCTTAAGATAAGCAAAGCTCAAACTTCTGGTGCATATACTTTACTGAAATTCTTGCTTATACTTGTTATACAAAAATGGGAAATAATTCCTGTTTTCTTATTCCTTTCATTTTTAAAATGCATGAAGAATATTTTGCAATATCAGGATTTATAGTGTAATGCAGACTCCAAACCATTAATGTTTTCTCTCCTCTATGTTAAGCAGGTATCAGAAAGACCGAGATCATGGAAATGACAAAACTATCTCTCAGTCAAGTCAAATTTCCCACACACTTTATCAAGGTGAAAATAAGTTTATCTCACAATTACTATATTTCACACTGGGAAGATCTACTCATGACATCTTGAAAAGTGGCAAGATGAAGGAAAAGAACGTGGGGTCACAGCTGACAGGCTATTAGATCAAGTCAGTGCCAAGGAAGTAAGGGGGGAGGCCAGGGAACACTTACTGGTAAGTGGTTGGACTGACGTTGATGCGCCGAGGGTGACTTCCTGATTCAAATTTGCTTGCCAGAGTGACATTATTTCCAAATAGACAATACCGTGGCATTCTTACCCCAACCACACCAGCCAGCACGGAGCCCGAGTGAATGCCTATTCTCATCTGAAAAAGGGAAAGGAAATGGTAAAAAATCATACTGCTTTTATTTTGCATGCAATTATCTTAATTTAAGGTGTTACTAATTATTAAATATACCAGGATAATCCCAAAGGCAGAAACTGAGTTGAAATCCTGTTTGTGAGCCAATATCTAGTTTATTCTAGTTCTCAATGAATGTAGATACTGTGGAATAAAAAAATGAATGGATTAATTATAAGAACAAGATCTATTTTTAAAGATTTATTTCGTTTTTGATTATTGTGTATTTGTGTGAGCCTGTGTATGAGTATGTGCACAAGAGTTCAGGGCCTGTGAAGGCCAGAAGAGGCCATCAGGTGCCCTTGCTGGAATTTTGGGTGGCTGTGAGCTGCCTGATGTGGGTGTTGGGAACTGAACTCAGGACCTCTGTCTGAGCAGTACTTTCTCTTAGTCACTGACTTCAGCCCCAGGATCTATATTGAACTTGCTGCATAAATCTGCCTGTGTCTCAGGTTAAATTTTGTTTCCATTTGCAGACTGTGCTCCATTTGGTATGCTCTAATAAGTGGAAGACGTGTTGTTCTCTCTCTTCTCCCTCCAGTTATTCCTACACACTTACTCTGAAAGAGCATTAAATACACTTGTAAATTAAATGTTTATGCTTATTTTGTTTAAACTTTGGATTTTCCCATACGAGAAAAGAATGCACTTATTTTGTTACTGCTGAATATTCAGCAGGCAGCATAATCTCTAAAGCAGAGAAAAACCTCCACAACTAAGTCATGAATGTCAAGCAAATCGCCTAATTCTCAACATATTATTAAAATGATACCATTATGAATATCAATATTTTATCAATCCCAAGAACTCAACCCTTGAATGAGTCAAGAATTTGATTAAATTGTAAGCAATAAATTAAACACTGTATAATTCTCTGAGAATTTGATAAAGATTGTTCTGGTCAAGTCTTGAAGGAGCCTTCAGTATACTACAACCAAAACTAATGCAGACAAAATGGGAGACAGTATTTTTAATTATAATGGAATACATGGAAATACAGAGAAGGGGGGCAATATGATTCTACATACACACTAGGGGGGTATATGTCATCCCTTACTACTACACCCCTCTTAACCACTATCATTATGAAGATTAAAAAAGTCACTTTAGACCAAGGGCTTGCTATGGCACTAGAGATCTCTGTTCATCATAAGACAGCCCCAAACCATACCACATACAGTGAAAAAAACTTGACTTTAATCTCTACTTAGAAATTCAATATGATAGGAGGAATCAAGATACAAGAATCAAGATCTAAGAGAGCAGAAAAACATTGAGGATCTGTCCTACCAGCTATGAAGTTGTAATTCAGGCATATCTAATTGGTGGGTGGGTATTTTTCTAGGGAGAAATGGCAAAGAGAACAGATCACCCAGAAAAGTTCACCACATATGCACGTGCTAGAAAGGTGAAAGCTGTGAGCATGGGTTTCAGATTAGTGAGAAGATCATCTTTCCATTAGAATGCTCTGGATTAACTCTGTCTCACAGTACAAGGAAAGAACAGACTTCTACAAATTGTTCTCCAACCTCTACACTCACACCATGGCGTGCCCACAGATGTACACACACACACACACACACACACACACACACACACACAATTTAATATAAATGACTTTTATCTCTCTACATGATTTCCCAAGTTAATCATCTAGATTGTCAGGTAACTCCATTCCCTTCACTCAGGTCCTTGTGCTGTGCTTCCCCTCTATTTTTGGTTCAATTAGAAGCACTCTCATGATCCAATTCACAAGATGTGGGAAGATTAATAGTATGGGTCCAAGCCTATCTGGTACCATTTTACTTCAATTTTTCTTTCTTTCTTTCTTTTTTTTTTTTTTACTATTTTTATCTTCAACCATTCTGATAATATATTCACTCAGCTTTTATATGTTTAAAAGAGTCCACATTTTACCTTTGCTACTGAAAAAACGTTTTCACTGACTGTAGCCTTCTAGGCTGAGGGCTGGGAATGCAGTTCAGTGGTGCTCAGCAGAGTGCTCAGCAGGAGCAAGGCCAGAGTTCCATCTCTAACACTAAACTAAACAGGAATGGAGGAGGGGAGAGAGGGAGGGACAGGAGCGGAGGGGAGAGCAGGAAGGATGGATTTTAGGTTGAGTGTTTTTTCCTCTTTTAGGTATTTTAAGGTGCTCCTTTGCTAACTCCTTCCTTGCACTGTTTCTTTAAAAACAAATCGTTACATTTAGTTTTGGAAGTGGTCATGCCTGTGGAAGTCAGAGGACAATTTGCTGGAATCAATTCTTTCCTTCCCCCATTTCAGTCCCAGGGATTGAACTCAGGTCACAAGGCTTGGCAACAACTGCCTTCACCTGCTGAGTCATTTTGCCAACCCCTTGCTTTGTTTCTGAGAAAAAAAATCTTCTGTCATATTTAGGTAAATTCCTCTGTATATAACGCACGTGTTCTCTTCCGGCTGCTTCTAAGTACTTCTTCCACTGCTGACTTTAAATCGTTTAGTTATGCTTTCCCTCTGTGGGTTTCTCTGCTTTAGGTGCTGTGGGTTTGTTCCCCGTGGTCTTTAGGTTTATAATCTCATTAAAGTTAGAGCTTCTTCAGAGATAATGTTTCTGTCCATTTCTCCATGTTTGAGGCTCTACTTACATGAATGTTACAATGCTTGAAGTTTTTCCAAAGATCCCTAATGACTGTTGAAATAGTTTTCTCTTTATTTTAGATTTCTACTGCTAGGTCTTCGAAGTGACTTATCTTACTTTTTTTGTGGTCCAATCCCCTCTTAATCCAATGTGTACTTAATCTCAGATATTATAATTTTTCTCTCTAGGAGCTGGGTTTGGGTGTTTTCCTCTTCCACGTGTCAATTTTAGTTTGGAACATATGGAATGCTGTTAAAATGATTTTGAATGTTCTGACCTGGTAATTCTAACATCCGTTTCAGTTTGTATCCACAGTTTTGATGGATTGATTTTTCTCTTCATTATGAGCCTTATTTTTCAGTCTTTCTTCATGCCTAGAAATTTTTGATTAGTTGCCAGACATCATAAATTTGACCTTGAAGAGTGCTGGATATTTTTATATTCTCATAAATATTCTTAACTTTGTTCTGGAATGCAGTTAAATGGCTTCAAAACTGTTTCCTTTTAGTCTTACTTTTAAGATTTACCAGGAAAGTCTGAATCAGTGTTTCCTGAAGTCCTCGTTAACCTCCCCCCCCGGCCCCCCAATTGCTAAGACAAGAATTTCCTAGTCATCTACCCAGTGCAGGGGCTTAAGACCTTACTTGCCTGGCCTATAGAGGCTTATTTCCCCCCTATGTCCTTTTTAAAACCCAGGTATTTTTTCTTCATCCTTCTTTGAATTCTCTCTGCCCCTCTCCCCTGGGCACAGGTTGTTTATTCACAATCACTAGTCAGTCTACTGAAAACATGAGGAGGACACTTGGAAGATCTCTGGTGGTCTCTCTGGCATTCTGTATATCATCTCTAGTCTGCTTGACAGAAGCTCAGCTTCATGCCTTCAATCCTAAGACTATACTGGGTGGTTCCTGATTTACCACTCCCTGAACCAAAGGCTGGAAGTTTATCCCATCAGAAAGTCCAGGACAAGCATAACACCCATCTCACTGTTCCCTAGTCCTGACAAAGCTCACCATCTTCCATTGTTTAGTATCTAGTGTTGAGAAAACTATTCTTTTACCACATCCAGGATTTTTATTTTATAAATGTTTATTTTATAAAAGTACTAGCATTCTCACAGCATAAAAATCATAACAAGAACAACAAAAAGGAAACCAAAATATCTGAGAAATATAAACCTACTTCTGATGATAGGTGTCTATCTGTATTTGAAGGGGGAAATGTGGATGACATCTATTCCCATAGACAAGATAAGTGTGGAAAATATTTTTCTAAATTAGCAATATATTCTGCAACATTGTTGCTATCATTCTCCTTCTCCTTCCTCTCCTTCCATCTCTTCTTCCTCTCTCTCTCTCCCTCCCTCCCTCTGCTTACTTTCATAAAGCCTATTTACATTGTCACATTGTGTGATGCAGTCTTCAAATGACAGCCAGTTCTTACAGAGTAAGATTGTCTGTTTGGACCAATGATCACTACTGTGATTGTTTTAAACAGGAGAAATGGGAGGGATGCAGCTAATGTTACCAAATGTCATAGCTTTGTTATGCCACGTCATCTGTTTGAGAAAAGCACCCCAACCCAACGTCAATGAAGAGTCACCTCAGCACCCCCTCAAAAAGCTGAAGGCTTCTTACTTCAGTTATCAGAAGAATTATTATAACCTGAATAAAACAATGGTAAAAAACATTCTTGGGACTACTATCCTCAGGCCTCTTGGGGTAAGTCTATAGCGCAGCTCTCCGCTCCGGGACTCCCTAAGCCTCATTCACCCTTCCACCCCCCGCCTCACCGTTCTATACTCCTAGTTTGGGCCCTGCGCCATTCCTAGTCTTGGGGCCCCAGACACCTGGGGAACCAAAAC